TGTGTTAGATGTGGGTGTAAGGGTGTGGGTGGGTGTGAGTGTGAGTGTGAGTGTGTTGAGAATTTGCGTGTGCGTGCACATACCAACCTTTGATTACATGGTTGTGATTGGCCCGCAACTGCCAGCGCTCCACCCGTAGGCGCGCCGTCTCGCCGCCACGCCGTTCCGTTCCATGGCTGACCGCGTCCGCACGCCTGCCCCCCCTGCCGCCCCCGCAGCCCAACAGGCACAAAGTTCCTTCTGCTGGTGGAGCCCCTGTGCCCCCAAGTGCCCGCGCTGCTCGGCCGGTGCGCGGCCGCGCCGCCTGATGCGCGCCGCGCCTCTCCTGCATGAGGGGCCCAGGGCCGTCGCGGCCAAGCCCGCGCCCGCGCCGCGCACGGCCGCATCTAATTCGCAGCCGGCTGAATGGCGGCCGCCGGGCGGCCACGCTTGTCTCTCGTGAGGTCGACTTGCATTTCACTCCACAAACATTATGCGCCCAGGCCCAAGCCGCCACCCTCGCATCCCAATCCCCACCAACTCTCACATTGTGCCTCGACAGAATTTACGAGCTGTACGCTGACTACGTCCTAAATAACCCGTTTTACGAAATCGACCAGGTGATTTTGCCTACCACTCCAGAACACGCCGCCGCGCGCTCGGCCGCAGCTCAACCCGCTGCCCTCGACACAGCTGGGCTCATGCGCATGCCTGCACGCCGCCGTACCAAGTACCCTGTAGCGACTGCAGAGCCTTGAGCCATCTGCCCGTCAACTCACTCCACATCCCTGCCCCAACAACACACACACACACACACACACACACACACACACACACACCGCGTCCCCCAGGTCATCAAGTGTGAGCTGTTCGACCAGGCCGTTGACCTGGCGGTGCGCCGCTACCCCCTCATGCTGCTCAGCCAGCCAGCAGGCCAGGGGCAGCTGCTAGTCGCCGGCGGCATGGGGGCCGTGTGACGCCGCCGCGAGGTAGTCAATCTGGGGGCCCAACGCTTGGGCCGCACCGCCCAAGCTCAGCGCGGGGACCCCAGTTGGCAAATAGGCAGCCCCTCTCACCCCAAGTGTGGCACCCCAAGTGTTGACGTGCCGCTGGCTTCCCAGGGTCAAAGTGACATCACTGTGATGTCATTGACCACCGGCACTCGCAGCCACTCGACATCCACCACTGCTGGCGGCACGAGCACTCGCCCCTTGCCCTGGGAGCCTTCACCGTGTTGTCGTGTAACAGCTAGCGCAATGCCTAGCCCCCAATCCTTTGGACATGCGAGCCTGTGTACTCGGTTGTCTTTGTGGGTGTCAAGCTGGATGCCATCAAAGAGGGGCCACACAGAGGCCAGGGTGGGAGGACAAGATGACGTGGACCGCTTGCAGGTGCTGGGGTGCAGCAACCCCAGACCATGCTGCTGGCCGGGCAGCTGTCAGCTAGCACAAGTAAACACTGTCCTGCAGCGCTGGATAGCGCTCGCGCATGCGGCAGTGAAAAGGCTGAAACGGGGCATCACCAACGTTCTTTTAGGCTTGAATATGTATTGATATGAGGTGAGGTTATTTAAGGTTTCAACAATGTTACAGCTGGCACAGGGCCATCACACGGTACTCGCCGCCCTGGAACTCCGCGTGCAGAAGTTCAAGAGGCACCTCCTGCACGGCCCAGCCCGCGCCGGCTGCGGCCGCCGCGAAGCCCTCCTCGCCCATGCCGCGGCGGCGGTACGAGATGTACACCTGTGCGGCGAGGTCAGGTGCGGCATGGGGGATGCGTGTGGGCGTGAATGCCGGGGGCTCGGAATCTCTCCGTCACACTATGGCTGGAAGCGGGTTCAAGGGAGGGTCCAGGCAGGCGCTTTGGTCTAAGGGGGTACAGACGGGCCACATTGTAGTCAGCAGGCGCGGAGGGCGCTGGGGTGCGAATCGGAGGGCGGGCGGAAGTCGGGCAGGCGCCGCCTGGGCGCCCTTCTACATGTGTTGGCACGTTGACTGAGAACCTCAGTGCGCGGCTCACCTGCGTGTGTGGCGAGGACAGCTCCTGCAGGCTCTGCAGCAGAGGGGCGTGGCCCCTTGGCTCATAGAGGACGTCCGCGGCGACGATCAGATCAAACGTCATAATGCCACGTTCGTGATCTGACAACCCCCCATCTGGCCGCTGATCTGGCTGCAGGTCCGGGAGCCCCTGCGGCGTCTGCTGCAGGCGCTGCCGCCACCACGAGGCGCCCGACGCTGCCGCCGCCGCGGCCGCCCGCTCGCGCAGCGCCCTGGCGGGCTCGCCCCACGCAAAGTCCACGACGAGCGGCGCGCCCGCGGCGCCGCTCCCGCCGGCGCCGCCGCCGCAGTTGGCGGCGACATTGTCGCGCGTGAGAGGGGTTATGTGGGGCAGGTCCGTCAGCAGCGCCCTCGCGCCCGCGGCTGCAAGAAACATGCCGCACACACCTGTGCCTGATCCCTGCGAAGCAAATTTCAAGCGGGGCAGCGGGCAGGCACGATGTCACATGGCAGAGGGCAGCAAGCCTGGGCCGTCGCGCAGCATGCAACGTATGGCATCCCCTCGCCATGCGGCATCCGCAGCCTCTGGCCTGAGAAAGGGGCCCAAAACTCGCGCTGGGTCACAAACAGCCTCAGACCGCCGCGCTCCTTTGATTATTGCCCCGCCCCCCCCCTCCCAGCCCACCAGCTCCAGCACTGTCACCCCCGGCCACGCCCCCAGCGGCGGCCGTCGAAGCAGCAGGTCCGCCAGCACGTAGCCGCTGCTCCACACCACCAGGCCCACGTTCGAAAGGTCCGGCAGCTGCCCGGCAGCCGCCGCGGCGGCGTCCTCCTCGTCGTCCTGCGGCCACTCGACGCGGGGCCCCTCTGCCAGGTGGCGCGCGGCGCCGCTGGCGGCCGGGCGCTGGCGGATGAGGAGGTGGTAAGGGCCGACCTGGTTTTGGGGTGAGGGATCAGGCCGCGGCGCGGGCGGAAAGCGGGCGTTGGGGAGCAGCTATAGGCCGCCAGGAAATCCATGCTGTTCGGTGGCGCGGAGCATGGAGTGTGCACGAGACTCCCGAACTGTGTTCTCATCACTCCTGTCTGCTTCCACTGTAATCGCCAGCACGCATGTGCCGGCCGCCGAACGCGCCGCCCTTGCTGTGCAGCGCAGGCTTTCGTCGGGCCCGGCGCACCCCCGCAAGTGCAGCCGGGCACGCTTCCTCGCCTGCGCCGGGCCGCTGCCAGCGCCGCCTGCGCTGCGCTGCGCCTCGGCGCCTCGGCCCACCTGCATAAACCGCTCTTCTGCATGAGGGTCTGCAGACGGCCCCGCCACCCGAAACTCTACCAAAGCCATCCGCGGGGCGCCCTCGCACTCCTCTGCAACAAATGCCCCTGCCCCTACCGCTGCCCCTGCCCCCGCTGCGCGGCCGTGGCGTGCAAGACACGCGGCCCGGCGCCGCTATTCGTCCTCTGGCCGCTGCCGCCGCTCCACGGCCTGCCGCGGCACCCCCAATTCAATGTCGGGGCCCTCTGCCTGCAGCCGGCTGTATTTCGGGCCCTGCCGCGCCGCCCCCACGTCTGTGCCCTCACCCGCCGCGCCGCCGCCGCCGCCGCCGCGCGGCCGCAGGCCGAGGCGGCAGCGCAGCTCGGCCGCCGCGGCGCCGCCGGCCGCCGCCGCTGTCCCGACGATGTCGGCTGCCAGATCTCTTACAGACAGCTGGCCGGGCCACCTGGGAGGGCAGACGTTCGGATCTCATCTGATCGCCCCAGCGCAAGGGACCCGTCTGGTTCTGCCTGCATAGGCGAGCCGTGCGCGCGCCGCGTGCCGCTGGCAGCCTCGGGCGTGGAGCTGCCGGCATGCCCCATTTGCAGCTGATCATGCAGATCAGGCGGGCATGCAACCGAGGCCAGGGCCCCTGCTCACCAGCCAAGCACGTCCCCTATCTCCTTGCCCACGCCGCCAAAGACCGACGCCGCGACCGCCCACGCCAGCGCCGGCGCAAGCGTGAGGCCGCCGTATCGGCGCAGCAGCACGTACGCTGCGATCACGAGCGCCGCGCCGAAGATCACGTGCTCCGCCTTGTCGAGTCGCAGCCAGGGGTCGTCGTTTGCGGCCGGCGCTTGCGGCGGCAGCGGCGGGGGCGCAGCGGGGCGCGGCGGCGGGGACGTGGCCAGGTTTGCGGCGGGCGGCACAGTCTGCACAGGTGACAAATTGCAGTGTGTGTGCTCAGCACAGCAACAAGTCTACTTGAATTGATCGCGTATATGTATGTGGCCCCTTTTGAATCGACTTCACAAAGCAAACCGTCCCGCTTCACAGTGAGATTTGCTGATCTCGCAACAGTCGAACGGGCTCCGGCACACATACAAAGGGCTGTGAGGTTTGGTCGCATCTAGCTTTCAAATGTCAGCCCGGACGCGCTCGCAGCTCCGCGCTATGGCGTCAGGCGGCGGAGCGCACGTCGCCCCAAAGCGGTGCGAAGAGGGCAGCGGGCCCTACTGCTAACGCACTTGCCAGGGTTGCAAAGGGCTCTGCGATCCTCGGCCTGGTGTTGATTGCGCAATAAGCAGCCCCAGCGGCTCACGCGGGCCCGCGCCGCCCTGCCCTGCGCCCCCTCACGCCCGTCGCCGTCACTCCACCTGGCAGCATCGTCATCTGCGGCGGCGGCATCATGGGGGTCTCCACCGCCTACTACCTCGCCACCCGCAAGGGGCTGACATGCACATTAGTCGAGCGGCACGAGGTGGCGGGCGCCGCGTCGGGCAGGGCAGGCGGCTTCCTAGCGCTCGACTGGAACGACAGCAGCCCGGTGAGTAATGGATTACGTGATCGGCACGGGGGACGCGCGCATGCATGCAGGGCGCCCCATGCATGCAGGGGGAATGAGAATCGCGCCGGGAGTGGTGCAACTTCAAATACCCAGACAGCTAGCCGGCGCCGCCACTTGCGCCGCCCCGAGCACCCGCCCCATGGCCCCTCGCGCCGAGAGCCGGACCTCGCAGCGGGGGCCGGGGCCGCGCCTGCGACACCGCGCACACGCGACCGTCGCCGCCGGCGACAGCACGCATGCATGCTCCCACGCGCCGCTCCCAAAACCCCGCCCGTCTCTGCCTCAGCGGCCACCGCACATCGCCCCCACCCAAGACCCCTGGGCCCCCGCCCGGATTCACGCCCAAAACTCTCAGGTGGGCCGCCTAGCCCGCAAGAGCTACAAGCTGCACCAAGACCTGGCGCAGGCCCTCGGCGCCGAGCAGATCGGCTACCGACCGCTGGAGACGATTTCGCTGTCGGCCGCGGCGCCGCGCGCGCCCGGCGGCAAGGGGCGGCCGCGGCTGGGCGCGGCGCTGCCGGGGTGGCTGGACGGGGGAGGGGTGGTGGCAACAAGTAAGATGGGGACGCACGAGACGACTGCACAGGTGGGGGCAGCTCTTGAGAAGGATGCAGTCCACAATGAATGCAGTTTGATGTTGATACAGACAGAGCACGAATTCAAGGCGGATCCCCTACAGGTGTATCCAATTTGAGAATTCCGACAATCCAGGGAGGGTGGGATTTGCTGGGGCGGCGCGGCGCTGGCCCGGGACGCCTGGGCAGCGCGGGGCTTTTGGGGTCTGCGGGCTCCTTGTCCTGGTGGTTGCACAGAACACACTCCGAAGAAGGTGCAGGGGGACAACTTGTTTTGGAGGGAGGTTGGTCGGCTGCCGTCCCGGAACAGGCCCATTTCGATGCTTTGACGCCCCGTCGCACTCCTATTACATGGGTGGCGCGCAGGTGCACCCCCGCAAGCTCACACTGGCAATGTGGGCGGCCGCCGAGGCGCTCGGCGCCAAGATGGTGCGCGGCGTGGTGCGGGGCTTGTCGGTGGACGGCGGCAGCAACGTGACAGGTGGGCATGCATGCGCATGTAGGCATGTGCACAAAGCAGGGGGCTTTTACCGTTTTGCGAAGGACCCGAAACGATGTATATGTGTGTGTGTATTTCGATCATCCTTATATATCAACTTTCTTACACGTACATCTCAACACTACGGAGATGCTCCAGATGCCCTTCACTCGCCGCAGCAGCCGACCCTGCCGCCGCCCTGCACCTAAACACGTGCAGGCGTGGAAGTCGAAGGGGTGGGCACCCTGGATGCTGACGCCGTGGTCGTCGCCCTCGGCCCCTGGAGCGGCCAGGCCTCCACCTGGCTGCCGCGCCTGCCGCCCGTCGGCGGCCAGAAGGCGCACAGCGCGCTGCTGCGGCCGGCGCCGGGCGCGGGCGTGACGGGGACGGCCGTGTTCACGGCATACAAGGACGAGGAGGGCAGGACGCGGGAGCCGGAGATCTACCCGCGCGCGGACGGGACGGTGTACGTGAGCGCCGCCGCCGCCATTGCAGCCGCAACACTCCTCCTGAGCCGCTGTCGCGGCGCTCCCCCAACGCCGCACCCGCCTGCGCGCCCGCGTGCGCTCGCCCGCTCCCGCGCACAGCTCGCCCCGCACGCCGCAGCCTCGTGTTCGAGACGGCCCCAGACGCGGGCGACGCGCCCCAGCCGCGCCGGCGCGACCCCTCACCCGCGCCCCGACCGCCCCCATCCTCCCCGCCCGTGCTGCCCTCAACCGCGGATCCAACTGATTCAACCGCGCAGGTCTGCGGTGAGAGCAGCGCCACGCGGCTGCCGGCCGACCCCGCTGACATCACCATCGACAGCGAGGGCACGATTGGGCGGATACTGGAGGTCGCAGGGGCGCTGTCGTCCTGCCTGAGGGGGGCGGAGGTCGTGGCGCAGTCGGCGTGCTACCTGCCAGTCACGGCAGACGGTCTCCCGCTGATCGGCAGGTGCGGACACACACGTGTGCACTCACACACACACACACACACACGCACGCACGCACGCTCGCACGCACGCACGCGCGCGCGCGCGCGTGCACGCGCGCGCGCACGTGCGCGCGGCGTTGTGCTGGCCGCTGGGGCGCGCAAGCAGGGGCTGCACAGGCGGGGCCGAGAGGGTATGCCTGCGCGGCTAGCCCAGGTGCGCCGGCCGGCGTGCGGTGCCGCACCTCAGCTGGCCGACCAGCATTTTGCGCTTTCCTGGCGGCCCCGTCGCCCTGCATCACCTTGTCTTCCGTTTTGGCAACCCCAGAGTTCCAGGCGTTCGCGGGGCGTTTGTCGGCGCGGGCCACTCCTGCTGGTGAGAGCGTGCAGGGGCTCCGGGCAGTGGGCTCGCAGCGCGGGCGGCAGAGCTGGACCGGGGACGAGCGTACGCGCACGTGCCAGCACGCCAGTGGCGGGCGCCTTGCATCGCTAGGCGGTCGCGTAGCGCGTCGTGCACGGCTGCAACCTGTTTTCAAGCGCGGGCCCTCTCCCGCCCCTCCATGCTCCTCCCTGAAATTCGCCCAGCCTCGCTAAACCCAAACCTCAAACCCCCCTCGGCTCCTCACCCCTATGAGAAGGCGCTGCGGCCCACACCACCGCGCCCCGGACAAGACACACGCGTTGCCGCACCTCCCGCCTCCCTTGCCCCCAGGGGCGACGCTCCCTTACGTGCTCTCACCCCTGCCTTTCGTCCCCCGCAGGGGCATCCTCAATGGGCCCGCCACCGGGCTGGCGCTGGCGGAACTCATTGCTGACGGTGCGGTCCGCAGCGTAGACATTGCGCCCTTCGACCCCGCCCGCGGCGGCCACGAGTTCGGAGCCGTGTGAGGGGCTGGGGCCGCGCCCCGCCTGCAGGGCGGTCTCCTCCTCTCCACGCAGCGCGGCGGCGCCCGTGGCGCGCCGGATAACGTCATGATGTACTTCTGTTGCCGGCAGCGCAAGTCAAAGGCGCGCCAGAAGGCTGCCTGCGTTGCTGTGTTGCGGGAGGCCCCGGCTGTCTCACCCGCGAGCGTTTTTTCTTTGTTCAAACACCCTGCTGGGGGGGGGATCGATTTCGCAGGAAAGCGAGCACCTTGCAAGCCATCACGCCAGCCGCACGCTGCGATGCAGCACTGTCTTTCAAAGGCTCTTCAATTGCTGTCATGGGGGGCGCTCCACACTGCGTGAGACAGCGGCCGCTGCCGTGGGAGTGTGGGTGCTGCCTGGCCCCTCAGTCGCGGCATTGTCCTGTTCATTTTCGCTCGAGTTGGCGGGGGAAAGTACTGCATCTGTGCCATGCCTTTGCTTTCTTGCTAGCACTGTCTCTCATCGTCACCCTTGCAATGTTTGACGCGACACCGTTATCTGTTGTAACATATCATCTGTGCGTGGCCCTGAGACCGCCCAGCTGCTGCTTTGGGCGGTTTGCAGGGGCTCAACAGTCAGTACCAGTTGTCTGTTCACATCCCACACGCCAGACAGCGCATGCCCTTGCGGGAGCCACTGCAACGTGCTCATAAATTACATTGCAGGAGATGTCAGAAGAGTTCAATTGCTGGCAAAACACAGCACTGCGACCCCCTGCAGCAGCCGCCGCCGTCGCCGGCCCTCCTCAGCCTCAGGAGCCGCCACCGCCGCCGCCGCCGCTGCCAGCGCCGCCGCTGCCGCTGGCCGCGCCATCGGGCGCCTGCAGCGACTGCCACCACGCGCCGACCGCCTTGGACACCCGCTGGTCGACGTCCCGGTCAGCGTCTGACTCCCTCAACTCCAGGAGCTCCTGCATGCCAGAGTACACTGGAGGGGGGTTGATGATGGGGTGTGGAGGTGGGTGGCGTACGTGGGTGGGTGAGGGGTGAGGAGGGTGGGGGGCATGTGTGGATGTGTGTGTGTTTTATGGGGGGGAGGTGTAACGTGGCTCCTGAGAAGAGAGAGACAGAGACACACACACACAGAGAGAGAGAGAGAGAGAGTGCGCGCGCGTGCTTTGAGGGAAGATATCGGCGTGTGGCTTTGTGTGTTAGTGTGAGGCTGCATGTGTGTGTATGAGTGGTGGGTGTATGCACGCACGCATGCGTGCACGCGTGTGCGTGCGTATGCCCGCACCGGTGCGTGAGCACGAGGGCGCCCTTACGCATCCCCGTCCACGCAGCTATGTGCAAGCATGCACTCTGCGCACGTGCGGTGCCACGCACGCGGCACGCAACGTCTGCAATCAACCAGTGCCTAGGCGGCTGCGCGGCCACCCTCCATCCACACCCCCACAAAGCTATGCCCCCCCCCCCCCCCCCCCCCCCCC